AAATAAATAAAGGTTATCTGGAATAAGACACAAACTCAGCAGCTATTCCAGAGGCTGCTATGACATCCATACTGTGTCTTAAATTGGTGGCAACATTATAGTCAAGAAATGAGGCTCTCTCTATATGTATATATTTATGTAAATTAATTGGGATTTAATACATGTAACACACCATTCCATATTTCAATCATGTCAAGTAGAATTGGACAGTTGCTACCACCATCAGTTTCTGACCATACTTTTTCACCATGTGCTCCTTGACATGGTCTCCCTCTTGAACACACAGTACTCCTTATTCTACTTGGTGTCCCTATAGGTTCATCAGTCCTGGGTTTCATATGCTGAAAAACGGAAAAGCATGTAACACAGCTTCCAGAGAACGAATGAGGATCTTTTCTACGTCAGTACCATGTTAGCTGCTCCTGCCTCTCTCAGTCCCTGTGCCCACCAAGGCCCTGCCATCTCCAGGCTCGGCCTTCAAGGGCCTGTGCCTGCCCTGCTGGATGTGCTGACCTCTAACTCAGTACCAGGTTGCAGGGCTATCATTCGAGTCCCACACGTCATTTGACATGAGCTAATAGCCTCATGAAAAAAAAGGCATAATAGGTGAAATGCATTTTAACAATCTGTTTACCTCAGTAGATCCAAACTATTTCTCCCTTTCATGGGATCCCTGCCTCACTGCAGTCGGCCCAGCAGTTCTCAGCACTGGCTCCAGGGTCAGTCCCACCAGGTCTAGAATCCCACACCTTCCTTTCTCTGGGCCATCACTCTTTCATTTTGCGGGAGTACAGAGGGTTTCCTTAGCCAAAGGTACATGGAACATGCATGTCAGAACTTTGCAACTTTAAATGTTTTTTTCTTTTAACACATAATTTGACTCAGGATTGGATTCTCAAGGCAAAATAATGTTTCCTAATATGATACTCCATTTGATTGTTCCATAATCTGAAATTAATTGCTTTCTCCCACTTGTAATCCACTCTGCTAGTCTGGGAAATACACCAAAAGGCCACATGGTGAAATAGTTGAAGATCTGTTTTATAGGTACTGTTTTTACTTTGAGTAAGTTACTTGGTTGATGTAAAATCCCATTCATAGTAGAGAGCCGACAATAGAAAACTTCCAAAGTGAAGGCTTCAGAGAGGAAACTCTAGTCAACAATGTGGCTAATGTTCTTTAATTACATGGAAGATATTATCTATCCGATAGCCAGTGTTTCTCTTTTTTTCTGGTGAACACTGTATTGTGATCTAAAGAAGAATGAACAGAGCATGTTATTTTCCCTGTCAACAACACACATACATTTTGTGACTCCCGTTTCCTTCCCCTCAATGTAATAGCACCCGTCCTACT